AACGATGTACAAATGCGCTTTACACAATTGATGTGTGTATGGATTGGGATAACAGTTGTATGAGCCCCTAATAAAATGTTAAAAAAAAAAGATTCTTAAAAGAAAAAAAAAAAGTTATTGCTCTGAGCAGTTGGTGAATGATAAATATAAGTAAGACAAAGCATCACCTCATCCTAAATAACACTCAGGGATTGGGGGTGGTGCTTATAAAGCTTTTAATTTTGCACAATTCCTTGGAAATTACTGAAAATAAAATGGCAAATGATACTTCCTTTCTCTAAAAGTATGTCCTATCAAGCTGATTTGATAAACACCAACTTCCCTCACATCAGCTTGATTTCATAAACTTTTAGAAAAAGGAAATACCACTTGCCATCCTATTTTCAGTACTTTCTAAAGTGTTCCGGGCATTTTTAAAATAAAGGCTGGATGAAGGGGTTAGAGCAGTACATGTGATACAGATAACCTGCCAATCAAAGGGTACTCTGAAATTTGTAGAGGATTTAAAAGCCATGAGTTAGCCCCTAAAATATATCCTACTAGCTTTTTTAGAGATTGGTCTCATTTTTTTCTTTGGAAATGTTCAAGTCAGGTCTGGAATACCAGACAAGTTGTATTGAGACAGTCCTACAAAAATCATCAAATGTTGCTGTTCTTTAAAAAAAAAGGGGGGGGGGTAGTTGTCCTTTTAAACCACGTCAGACTCAAAATTCACTACCATTGAGTCAATTCCAATTCACAGCGACCCTATAGGACAGAGCAGAACTGCCCCTGGTGGTTGCCTAAATACCTTTTTTTGGGGGGAAGACTTTATGGGAGTAGAAAGCCTCGAGGATCTTTCTCCTGAGGAGCACAGGTAGTTTTGAAGTGCTGTTGAGCTCATGGCATAGTTGGCTGCAAATTGAACTGCTAACCAAAAGGTCAGCAGTTTGAAACCCCCAGCTGTCTGTGGGAGCAAGATGGGCTTTCTTCTACGATAAAGATTTAACAGTCTTGGAAACCCACAGGAGCAGTTCTGTTCAGCCCTGTAGGATCACTCTGAGTCAGAGTCGCCTGGATGGTAGTGAGACTTTTGTTCTGGTCATTCGTTATCAACATGTTGCTCTAGGGCACACTGTACATTTCCTGTCCCAAACCTGGAAGCAGCCTCTTTAGAAGTCTTGCTTCCTTCGTGTAGGGAATGATAGAGGGCCATCATCTGAGTTTATAGGGCTGGAGAACAGATTTCTTTTGAGCAAGGATCTGGATATTTAAAGATGGATTGTTTTTATTTTTATTT